TCCCTATCGTGGTTAATGATCCTTGATATTTGATATAATTACGAAAGGAAACCCAAATTATCTATGAAAAATTACAAAGTATCCTGATTGAGTATGTAAAAGAGTTCTTGATTTGTTTTTATTCTTTTTTTCTTTAAGCACCAATTGAGGCAAAATTTTAAAACTTGTCAGAAGACTTGATCTCCTGTAGGTTGTTTTTGTATGATGTGATCCATTTTTCTGTTGCTTTTCTTGATTTTTACTATGTTGTTTTCCAGACTATGAATTGTGTGGTTCATGAATTTATCTGCTTGTCTTTAGGAGGTTTCTATGCTCGACATTTCTGGATATCATGTAGCAGGAGAGCCGCTCGATCAGCACAGGGACTTGCGGTTGGATATTCATGATAACATGTCCTATGAGGTAGTGAGATATTTCGAGTTGTGCCAATGATCATATGTTAGATTTATTTAAATAACTCTTGGGCATTAGGTTATAAATCATGTGTTGTGGTTTTTGCACTCATGTTTTTTTTCATACCAAAAGTTGAGATGTGTCCATCCAATAAATGTTAAAATTCATGCACGAATTAGAGAAAACTCTCGAAATGATACGCGTAGAAGTGCAAAGTTCATGACATCTTGGTATCAAAATGCAAATGAATCAAATTCATTCTTTCCTATTTTTCGACATCACATGACAGGAGCTTCTTGCATTGGGAGGACAAATAGGCATTGTGGGTTGTTGACATTCGGATCGGTCGGGTCAGAATCAAACGGGTCGGCCCCATGAGTTATATGGGGTCGAACTCCTGGGGAGTGCCGGGGCGATCAGGGATATAGGAGCCGACCTGAGCCAAGGAATTATATGCAGTACGGGTCGAAGGGAATATTTCCCGAGCCCGGCACCCAGACAAGTAGGGGGCCGAGCCGGTCTCATCTCGGAACCGAACCGAAGAAAGGTTCGCCCGGGTCACGCGGACCTCTATAGCGAAGGTGCCGATCTGGGTAAGCTAGAGCCGCCCTGGAAAGGGGTGGCACCGGTCCGGTCACCATTAAAATATTCACCACTTGGGAGATCATCATTCGATGAGGGGATGGCCCGTCGCAGTTGTCCAATCAGCATTAAATGCTAACCATGCTTGCATTTAATGCCTAGCAAGCAATGATTGGGAAAACCTCAAATCGCATTAATGAACTGTAAGAAAGGCGCCGAACCGCTCTGCAAGTCTACTGTACGACAAGACTGGCGAACAGTATCCCATTTAAGAGCACTATAAATAGCAGCCCACCACATTTATTTTAGGTTGTTGAAAATCCAACTAACACAAGTTTTCTTCTACTTTCTCTCTCTAAGAATTGTAAGGATTGTAAGGATATCATAAGGGCCGACCTCGTACGAGAGGCTGACCTCGTGACCGTTTAATAAAATTCACAATTAGAACCTATCTTTCTTATATTTTCAGTCTTGTACTTTCAATACTTTCAATCTCAACCGTTGACCGAAAACGCTCGTCAACAGTTTGGCGCTAGAAGGAGGGCACCATAAGTTACTTGGTGTCAACATTTTCGATCCCGTGATTAACACTACATCGCACTTTCTTCCACTCCCGATCCAGATATGACTTCATCTACTCAAGACGAATCTACACAACAATCCGGCGCTCAGTCGCGCCGGCGTGACGGCGAGGGACCCTCACGTCGTGCACAACAAGGGACTCAAGCCCCTGTTCCTCCAGTCCCGACCTTCGCGGAGGCCATCCAACACCCCGACGTCCTCAAAGCCCTTGAGGGGGTCTTCGCGAGGGCCCTGGCTGGTCAGGCGGCCGTGGGTAACACCGTGGCGGCCACGGAAGGCCCCGACAACACGCTGCTCCAAACTCCTGCCAAGGAGACGGATGGGTCAAAAAAGAAAAAACCCGCCAAGTCCAAGACGACGGCCCAATCCCCCAACCGCGCTGCTCTGGACCGGCGCGAGAAGGGAGCTGGCCCGGCGCCTACGGAACAGACCGGAGAAAGTCAGCCGGATCGGAGCTTGCAGATTATCCGCCGCTCCGTCCATCAACGCCTCGGTGACAAAAGCAAGGCTAACCGAGACCTCAGGGAGGTCATTGAACGGGGAAAAACCATCGGACGCGACGTGGACGAAGTCGCGGCTCTCAAGCGAAGAATCGCCGAACTGGAGGGCCGGCACCACACCCGAAGTGAACCTTCACCTCCGTTCCCCCCGCCTCCTTCCTTTCCACGACCGACTCCCTGGGTCGTGGATCACGCCTCACCTCTTTCGCCCGACATACTGCAAGAACCCGTCCCTCCGAAAATCAAAGTCCCTCAACTCGGACTCTATGACGGAAGCTCGGACCCGGACACCCACATCGGCCTCTACACCTCGTGGATGGACCTGCACGGCGCCACCGACGCTCTGCGCTGCCGCATGTTTTCGTTGACATTGGGGCCCAAATCACAGCGGTGGTACCACTCTTTGTACCCCCACTCCATCTCCACCTGGGGGCAACTCAGGACGGTGTTCCGATCGCACTTTATTGGGTCACGGATCAACCTCGCCCCCAAAGAGTCCATCGCCAACATCGTCCAAGGCGAGGATGAAAGCTTGAAGGATTACATTGCCCGATTCAACGATCGAGTCCAAAACATGGAACAGTGCCACCCGGAGGCGTTGTTGATCTCAGTCCAGGCCGGCCTGAAGCCGAAGACACTGTTCAAATGGTCCCTTTGCCAGAACAAGCCGACCACCTACCAAGAGTTTCTCGTCCGCGCCCAAAACTACATCATGGCCGAAGAATCCTCGTCCATCCCGGTGCTCGACGTCGCGTCAAACAAGGGGAAAGCGAAGGATGAAAAATCGGGAAAGTCAGGCAAGTCGTTTGCTGAGATCCGAGCCATGAGGAGGCAAAAAGCGGAGGAACTCAGGGAGACCTATCAGGGCGTGTTTTCCGTGGGTGCCGCTGCTGTGTACGAAGAGATCAAGACCAAAGGGTTGTTACCGGACCCAAAGCCGATGTTTACCGATAAGGACAAAGTGGATAAGTCCCTCTACTGCACCTACCACAAGGCTCACGGCCACAACACCGACCAATGTCGAAACCTGATCTCGGCACTACTCAAATTGATTGAGGACCCGAACGTTAAGAGGTTCACGCACTCAGGGGAGAAAAGGAAGAAGGGAGGCCGTTTCGAGGACGGCCTCGATAGTGAGGACGACGCCGACGTGAACCCGCGAAGGAAGAAGCCGCAGCAGGGCGCCCCCAACGAGATCCTGACATTCAACCCGGCATATCAAGGTGAGGCCGGTACCTCGAGGGGCCAGAAGCGAAATCGGTCCCCTTCATCGAGGACCGACCAGGCCTATACCCCACCCCGGCGTGTGAATACCAGCCGAGCTGAATCACTCCTGTCGAGAAGACAGGCCAAGGCTTATGCCCGACAAGCCTATCATGCCGGACAGGGG